GTAAAACATGATTCTATTTCCGTATATGGCATATATATATCACTTATCACGCAGAGTTATATTAATTTTTCGATTAACAAGAGTTTTTCTAGAACGTAAGTATTTTTTGTTTTGTATCATCTTACACATGACTTTCTTACTACAGGCACTAATTCAGATTCTATTTTATATCTTAACAATAATAATAATAGATATTAATCCATGCAGAGTTCTCTATTCATGTCGACTAAAAGCTACTTTACTGTAATAATAAAAGAGACATTTTTCAGTATTTATACTATGATTTTTTTTTGAGAAAAATATTCAAATTTTTTGTTTTTTTTTACTTTTATTATGAATAATATAAATTTTTGAAACATATTATTATTATTATTATTATTATTATTTATTTTTATTTTTTTTTTTCTAATACTAGTTCAAACAAAAGATGTTTAACACTACTACACAAATAGAGAAATAGAATTCTTTTTTTTTATTATTATTATTGTGTTACCGTAAGAACATAACGAAGAGAATAATAAAGATATTAAAATAAATAATATTGATAGTTTTAATAAGAATTCATTTACACATTATTGTACTATAAATGAAAGAATATTTCCACTTATAGACTCTCGTCAATTAGTTTGAACATATGTCAAATACAGCATCAATAAGAAAGGTTCAACCAGCTTGTTTGCACACTTTTTATACACAAGATCTTCAATAATACTCAAGTTAAGAAGAGACATGAATATGAACATATGTTCTACTAAGAGAGAATACAAATTTTAGTAGTCAATTATTTAACGATGGATCAATGAGTTCATAGAGAGAAAAGTGGAAATGAGTAGACAATATTTGTTATATTTTTAATACTTTTTTTTTTTTTTACGGTATGCTAGTAGTTTTTATGCAATAGATTTTCTCAAAGATAATAGTAAAAATTCTCTTCACCATTCTATTCTATTTATAAACCTACTCAATCATATTAATTGTCATAGAAAATCTGTATGCAATTCTCACTTATTTGAGCATCATGTTTAATCAAAATATATTGATGGTTTGATTAACTTTTATAAATAACCCATGTAGATGCGCTACTGTTCAATGATCATTCTCCTATAAAAATAATGGATATTAATATGGATATCTATTCAACAGTAGACTTTAACTCAATATTCAGAGTTATATCAATTTTTCATTTGTTTTCTATACATTATATGTGTGTGTATATTTTTCCTGTTATAAATATTTTCTTATCATATTCATAATGAACTAATTATATTAAGAGAGAAAAAGAAAATTATATGATCTATTTATACAATAAGGATGTCATGCTCAATTGTTGTCTCTGTCTATCTTTTTCTTGTTTGTTTTTTTTATTTTTTTATTCTCTTTTGATGATCAAATTTTCACCAAATATGTTACCACTCAAAAATAGTAAAATAAGAAACAAAAGAGAGAAGAGAGAAAAATCTGCTCGAAAACAAATGATCTTTTTTTTGTTTTTTTCACAACTAGACAAAAGCCTTGAATAAAGATAATAATCTTTCAAATAAAAACAACGAGAAGAAAAATATGTTTGATGCTTCAGAGAAATAAGAAAAATAAAAAAACAAAAAAAAAAGAAGAAGATTTTTATTGTGTCTTTAAGTTTGAATAGATATAATGAATTATTTCCACTACACATGTATCATCATCGTTTCTTTCTCATTTATTAAAAGTGACTTGAAACTATAGAAGATACAAACAATCCCCAGAAGCTATTAAACGATAACGTTTTATTATTAAAAAAAAAAAAAATGGGGCGATGATGTTCTGTTTCGCTTTGTAAATTGACGAGATTCTATTTTAAATATTTTAATCATAATATAGAACTCGTTTGTTTACTTATCCATCCAGGTAACTGGATCCAGAGTTATATTCAATATGATTAAAAAGTTGTAAATAATTTAGTAATATGAGATGAAGATTAAACATCTTTAATTACACTGATTTTTTTTTTCCAGCAAATATTTATTATAGAAAAAGAAAAATTATTGTTTATATTGTAAAAAAATTAATTTAAAATAGATTTTTTTTTCTTCTTCAAATAAAACTACTCTTCTATTTACTAAGATGTTCTCTACGGAAATATTAAATTATTTCCTAATTGTCATCATCAAAGATAAAAAGAAACAAAAAAAAAAAAAAAAATTTTTTTTTCAATGTATATTCTCATCGAAATACAATTTATTTTATATTTTACATATGAGTTCTGACTTCACAGCTGTTTTCTATAGTCCTTCGATATAATACATTATTTTGTTCACATAAGGTACGTAGACGTAATTCATCGGTGTAATTATTCTTCAATTAATCACGATTACTGACAGTTAGAGAGAGAGGGAGAAAGGGTAGGTTTAAAATGTCTTCTTCTTTTTTTTTTTTTGTGATCAATTATTTATCGAGTGGTAAGTAATTGGACTCTTTTGTGTATATTTGATATATACATATAAACATCATCGTATATTTCTAAATAAACATTGGTTATTATATCAAGGCTGTAGAAGACTAATACAATCTCTTTTATGTCTATATTTATTTATTTATTTATTTTATTTATTATTCGATGGATATGTTTCATTTTTTCTTTTTAGATTTTTAATCAGGTCATTGTTCTTCGATGCGCATCACAATGAAAAACGATTTGTAAGTTTAAAAAATTCTATACTTTTTTTCTTATTTTTTTTATTTTTTTTTTTTGTTAAAATTATCACTTTTTCTCGTGACTTTGATATATCTCTATAATAAAATGAATAAAGAGAAATGACACTTGGAAGATGTAATAATTCAACAAAAAAAGTTTTTTTGATAGTTGAGTCAATAAATCATATTGATGAAAATCAATAATAAATTGGAGAATGTGTTCACATAAATAAAAAATAAATAAATTTGAATAAATTGTTGTTGGTCAGTATATTCAAGTGAGTTAAATTATTAAAATAAAACTAATAAATATATAAAGTATTAATAATCATGTTTATCAATTCAATAATATATGAAATAAAATACAATATGAAATAGTTCAAGTATAGACACTTCGCAATACTTTAATACTATATGGCTAGAAAAAATAAAATAAACTTTTGTTCTACTTTTGTTTCTTTTTTGAATATATAGCAATGTCCATAAAAAGATATCTTTTATATAAGAAGATCAAAAATAAAGATAGAACTAGACAAAACAGACAATTTTGTTTTTTCACCGGTCATTTTCTCAACATGTGACATACTTATTTTTTTCTTTTGTTCTACTTAGACTTGTATTAAGAAGTATACTTAACATTGTTATACAGTATAAGTTTTGTACGATATTTTTTTGTTTTTATAACTAGTACGAAACTAACTATATAGAACAATAATTTATATTTATACATATATCGAAATGTTTAAAGTTGAAAGAGATGATCTAAACAGCTTTAGGATTACCATCGACGAAGGTAGTATTCTTGAAGGTAGACTTTACTAGCCCAAATAATCACATGGTTTTCATTGATAAGTGAAGAGAAGTAACTATGAGTGTGATAATTTGCAGCAAATGAATAGCAAATATAGCGTAAGATACATTAACCTCTTCTATATTGTTATTGGATAACTAGTTTTTGTGTCAGTGTATGAGATGAGACAAGATGAAACGGACATTTTAAGCTAACTCTATTCGAAGAAATATGAATATAGTTTAGTAAAAAATACTCAAAAATGTTCATCATTTTCTTCTGAAATAAATACATCTAAAACAAAAATGTTCTATCTAACAAAAAAAAATTCATGTCTTTTTTTATAATCTTAGACTAGATTTATGTGAACAAATGATTTCATTGAAGAGTGTTATTCCAACTTAACCTCTCTCAAACAAATATCAACAATGTCTGCTGTTGATGATAATAACAATAATAATAATGGAACGAACAGTACACAGTTAAATGACGGTATACAAACATCATCCTTTTTAGGGGGTATTACACCATTTATTCTTGCCCTTACAATTACAATATTATTGGTATTTCTACTATTTACAATATTACTGTTATGTTTATTCGGAAGGTAGGTGTTTTACTAGATTTTTAATTTATATCTGATAATAGATTATAAGAATAATTAAAAAGACTAATCCAAAATAATGTAGGTATCTTCTTGTTCATTATTATTACTAAATGCTCCCATATTTCTCTCATTTAATTTCTTTAAATTGTTTCTGTCTGTTTTAAAAGTTTTAACATTATTCTTTCTTCGTTCATCTTCATTAAATTCTATCCATTGATTTTTAATTATATCATAACTTCTCAATGTTTGTGATAATGGAGATAGATTTGGACCTTGATCAATTGTTTCTGATATGTGTAGTTTATTTTCATAAAATGATAGACCATGATTTAATTTAAAATCGGGTATTGTCGTTATTAGATTCCATTTTTTTGTAACATCATCATACGTATGTATTGTTGGTATAGCATAAGGTTTCCGTTCATTATTAATATTATATCCACCTTCAAACATAAATAAAATAAAAGTAGGATTTTGTATGAAAATAATCAATTTACCGGCTGCATAAATAATTCTATTGTCTTCTTCATTATTGGATAGTAATGTTAATACAAGTGGTCTAGCGCGTATAGGTTCTATGTCTTTTTCAAAATGCCAATCACGACCAGTAGGATATTTTAATATTAAATATTCACCGTGCATTATTGATTCACTTGATAGTATGTCAAATCCTCCAAGAATGTGAATCTCACCGTTTATCATACCAACACCAGGAGCTGACTGACACGAGAAAAAAGAAATAGGACTGTGTTTCATTTAGATTAAAACTTCTTAACTTATAAGATATATATACAGGTTGCTACAATTATTTTTGATCACTTTTTATCACCTAGTTTTTTCGTATCCTAAGTATGTTTTTCACTCATAGTATATATCAAGTTATAGTCCATTTTCAGCTCTTTCATTTGATATATAAACGTCAATTATCCTCTTTCGGTTGACGGGTACATGACGCTGAGGAGCAAACATACCCAAAAACATATTTTGCCGACTGTAGATTTTAATTTAAAAAATGAGCGGGTCTCTGTTATTTGATTACTTTCGTTATTCTCTTTTTTAAACTGTTTCTAAACAAATTATATACTAGTTTACTCGTTAGAGTGCGCAGTTCTGAATCATATTAAAATAAATTAAAATCTTTTGGTTTTTGGATTACTAAATCGGGAAAATCTGGTCTGTTGAGTTGATAAAATATGTTTGGCATCTCTGCTTCTAAGCGTCATGTATCCGCCAACCAAAAGAAGATAATTGACGTTTATATATCAAATGAAAGAGCTGAAAATGAACTATAACTTGATATATAATATGAGTGAAAACGTTACTTAGGATACGAAGAAACCATGTGACCAAAAGTGATAAAAAATAATTGGAACAACCTGTACATAATGTATATCTATACTTTACTTATAAGTAAAGCTCTAATTTTGAGTAGATATCGCTTACTGTTGGCGCGGGAAGTAAGGGTAATGAGAGCCATTTTTCAGGTGAAACTCTAATATCCATGATGTAAGCATTTCTAAGCGGTTTATTAAAGGCTGTATGACCACCGGCGACACATATGTAATTACCGTCAATGGCAATACCAAAGCTGACTGATAAATTAGGTAATGGTTCTATTTCTAACAATTTATTTGCTTTATAGTCATATTTAAAATCACACGTTGCTGATATTCGTTCCTTTTTTATCGGATCAAAAATATACCCACCTAAAAAGCAAAAAGAAGGAAATATTATAAGAATAGATCAATTGTGTGCAACCTATAATATAGCTAAAATCTTCATCGTGCACAATTGTATAACGTTTTCGAAACACTCCAAGTTGTTCTAATGTTTCAAGGATCTTTTCAGTCAGTGCTGTAATTTCATTATCATCTTTTTCTATGCTAGGCGACAGAATAATCAATGATGGTTTTCCTAGTCCATATTGTTCATATTCAATTGAACGCATTTGACCAAAACCAGTTTGTAAATTCTTTTTGGTATATTCTATATAACATTTATCCGTATAATTCAGTTTACAGACCAAATGTTTTAATTGTAATACTTGTCGATAATTTTTCTGTTGAACACTGTAAATAGGTTCTCTGACACAATCTTTCAGATCGGATAAGATACCCTTGTAATCTGTTGGACAATGATTCGAAAGTAAATCGACATTTTTCTGAATATAGCACGAATCATTCAACAATCCTACTGCAGGATTATAACTCGTACACATCTCATCAACTTGTATTGATGGATTTAGAGAATCGATAAGAGATCTCCTAAAAACGGGAATCGACGGTATAAACGGTGAATTCACTTGTTCACATTTTGTTAGTGGAAACATTGTGATGTAGAGATGATAAAAAAAATGCTTAAATGAGTTAAATTATCAGTTAAAACTGAATAAGGATGAAAAACATGTGAACTAATTGTAGAGAAAATACTATTATCGAATAGAGAAAGAAAAAAACAATACTAAAATCGTCATAGTAATTTCTTCAAAATAACTAGCCAACTACTTACGTTCTGTCGAAACTGTCGCTATAATACTTATTCATAGCTATGAGTAGGAAAATGTATTTTTTAATTATAAATATTTGTTTTTTTAGGAAAAAAAAATCGAAAAGCAACGAGACAAAGCATCGTTTATTAATACCAGAAAGTGGAAAAGTGCTAAATTCTAAGTTGTACAAGGAAGAATCACAAGTGAGTATAAAACAAAGCTAAAAATAAATAATAAATCCTGTTCTCTATTTTTTAGATAATCGTCGATAATGGCACAGCCAATAAATCAAAGCCAAAAGAAACAACCGTTGTAACTAATGAAGTACCGGTTCAACTTAGACACTACTATTATGACAATTTTGATGATATCCCATTTATAGATGAATCACGACCCACAAGTATTATTGATATAAGTAGAGAATGTACGCAATTTAATTTTACGCTTAATAAAGCTTAAAACGTATGAGCACGGACGAATATTTATTCTTATAAAATTAAAATCTTTCTCTTGCCCATCTCGTTTTATAGTATTGTACTTGAACAGTAAGTGTAGAGAATATTGTAAGCATAATGTATTCGACGCGTCTCTTATACTAAAAAAATATGGTCTGTCAGATATATGTACGAGTGCCTACATATTCACATTGTTTCAACAAACACCTGACAATCATCAATAATGGTTCTGTGCGGCCTTAAAGATGTGTTTTTGTTTATGCTATTTTATTTTTTTGTATTCAAATTTTTTTGTTTATGATAAATTATTTTAAAATAGTCCACTTTAAAACCTATACGCCGGTCGACAAACAATCACTTTAACTATCAATGGTAAACATTGATTACAGAATCTTGGATATTTTGTTTTGTATTTATTTTTCAATTTTTAGAAGACCAACAAAATATATCCAGTGCTCAACAAATCACTTCTATCCATTGATAAATTAGAATATCCGTAAGATTTCGTTGTTAAGAGTAGATTTGCGTTATTGATCAATGATAATCTAATAAATAATTGTATTCATTCGTCGTGGGTATTTTTTTATAATCGTATTTGTAAGGAAAAGATTAAGTTTATGGTATTGTTTATTGGTCTTAAAGAATTAATGAAAAATTTTATATCAAAAATAGAAAGCTTTAGTAGTGGTTTTACTAAAAAAATACTAAAGAAATTTTTTTTTCCAGTTATTAGAGCAGAATTTTATTGATAGCTGAATTGCTTCCACTTAAACAGAGAGAAATTGCACCCTGCTAAATTTACTGTTGACCGTTGAAAAACCTAGCTAATTCAGAGATGGATAAGTCCCAGTTCGAACTGATAAGCTTTTTTAACCGGATTGTGACTGGACTGAGACTTGACTGGGGCGGATTATTTTCTCAGGTGTGACTGATTTTTCAGATCAGTTCTCCAACTTTTAGATTTTAATGTGAAGAAAAATCTTTGATATAGGCATTTATAGAAAGAGTGTCATTTCGGTAAAACGGTCCAAGACAAAACATGTAATCATAAGAACGAATGAGAAAAATTTTCTGGCTCGGACTGATGTTTATAGGACTGAGACCGGATGGGACTGAGGCCTGAATTGGACTAAACAACAGAGGACTTGCTCATCTCTGTAGCAGCTAATCAAGATATAATCATGCATTTGCTTAAAACATTTTCGTTTCACTGCGTTATGTTTTTGAAAAAGCAAAAGATAGCGCACACACTATAATCATCTACTATTTTGTTGAGCATGAGCAGAACATTGAATATAAGGAATTTATGCATTTAAATGTTCCATATAATAGTCAGAAAACGTTGACCTAAAACATAGATACAAACGGCTTGAAAGAGAGCAGAGTAAGTTGGGGTAATTCTAGACAGCCTCTTTAATTTTTACAGTATTTTAACCGGACTTCAAGCATTTTTACTCTAAAAAACGACACTCCACAGGTGGATAGATCGAACATTTCTCTATCTACTAATGTCAAAATCTTGTTAAAGTTCAATAAGGTTAATTAGTACTCATCAATTTCCAGAGAGCTTCTATCAAATGTCCAAAATTATCCCATTTGGGATCATTATATACGGTCAGTGTATCTCGTTGGGGCATACAGCAAAAATAATTCTGGACACTTCAACAAAAATAGCTGGAGAAAGTAAAACAACTTTTTTTCACTTGTTACTATTCTCTAAAAAAAGAACCAAAAAGGTGGGTATTTCCATGCCCAGATACCCATTTTGGAATCTTTGGGTAACAAATGCAGATACACTCTTTTTTTGGTTCTGTGGCATTAGAAATACCCTTAACCGTATTTTACAATGCCATTTTGGTATTTCAGTGTACCCTTTTTGGTTTTGTAAGATTTCTTTGAGAGTATTCCTCACTCCACAAAACCAAAAAATAGAGTGTATCTGCATTCAGAGATTCCAAAATGGGTATCTGGGCATGGAAATACCCACCTTTTTGGTTCTGTTTTTAGAGAATAGTAACAAGTGAAAAAAAGTTGTTTTACTTTCTCCAGCTATTTTTGTTGGACTGTCCAGAATTATTTTTGCTGTATGCCCCAACGAGACACACTGACCGTACATAACGATCCCAAATGGGATAATTTTGGACATTTGATAGAAGCTCTCTGGAAATTGATGAGTACTAATTAATCTTATTGAACTTTAACAAGATTTTGACATTAGTAGATAGAGAAATGTTCGATCTATCCACCTGTGAAGTGTCGTTTTTTAGAGTGAAAATGCTTGAAGTCCGGTTAAAATACTGTAAAAATTAAAGAGGCTGTCCAGAATTACTCCAACTTACTCTATCAACCTATAAAAATAATAGTATGCGCTTTTAAAGTTGCAAAGCTAGAAAGTTCACATGTGTATCACAGTATGAGATAATTGTTCCTCAAAACGAATAATTAAAGAATCCTAGATCTTTAGCAAATATACTAAAATGTTTTTTATATTCTGTCATGATTTTTCTAATCTAAGAAATAATAAATCGCATTAACCATTAACCTAGTTAGAGATTTCATAACTAGTCTTCTAATGTGTGATTGGCTGCTATCTAGACCACATTTGAAAAGTCGAGGAAGATACTAATACTATCCTATCTTTTATTATTTAGCCTATATCACATCTCTAGCTCATTAGCTAATCTACTTTTTATTAGTTGGTTGAAAAAAAGAGTTTTTGGTTCTTGGGTTGGTTCTACCCGTTTTTCTATTCGTATAGTATCGCTTAATACGCGCTTTAGTGACACGTTCCACCGACTCTCTTTTCTGTTCTTTCTGATATAGAATTGTATGCGGCTGTGATGTCCGTTATCATTATATACTCTATTTTTGACTCTGTTTACTTCTCTGCGAAAAGGTTAACGCAAAGTTGAAAAGTCATTCAATAATCCAACTCAACTCATCTTCAATGGAAAAAAATTCAATTCCGAAATTAATTTCAACGTGACGTCTACTACTCAACAAAGAGACGGATTGTATTACTGTTGTATTACTTACAAAAAGGCGGAAAAAATATGTTTTCAACTTACGCTCAAAAAAATAACTCATGCACATTTATTAAATTGATTAATCCAAATTCTTTTCAATTTCTGTCTTTTCTCTTTCTTACATATAGACAAACCAAAATCTAATAAAATAAATGACTTCTTTCACGTTACTTTGGATACTTCTCAAAAACAATTAGGAGAGAAACAGTGCATTTATAAAAGGTTTATAGATGTAAATATTATTATAAAAAAATTAGCTTTTTTATATAAAAAAAAAGAAGAAATTCTATTCCACTAATAAGAGCAAGCAATCTTCACATCCCAAATGCATTGAAAAAGTGATGTCCTTGTGGCATACATATATCAAACGGCATCCATACAACATGTAATACTGATTTACCTAATCGTACATACTGCACAACTGATACATTTTTAAACAGATCGTCCTAACTATATCATAAAGCCAAAACTATATTCAAATCACAAATTGAAAATATAATACACATTTACATAAAATTTGGTTAAATCTTGCAATTTAATCTAATTTAAGTTAGATTCACCGCAAAGGGTATAGAAAAGTATGGTGTCCTCTCAGTTTGTCCAATTTGACTTCTCAATTCGTCCCATGAAACTTTTCTTCTCAGTTCGTCCCAGATATCTATGCTCGCGCCTCAAAATAAATAAAGTGTTGTACCATCGAACAGTTTAGACGGTGGCGGTGGGTATTGTAGACAATACTGGGTGCGCATACGTGGCGAAATGTATCGTGTTAGCCACTTCTATCAAAAATTTAATCGAAATAAGTTAAACTGGTTTGTTCATCAAAATGTTAATTTCCCCGTCTACTGAAAAAGACTGGAAAGGATATAAAGTTCATATAAAGTCCATATAAAGGATATAAAGTAATTGTTCTGTTTATCCTTATATTTATGAGTTTGTTCGATTGTTACGTGATGAACATTCGTTCCAACATCATCAAGCTGAAGTATCAGAAATTCTTACTCCAAAAAGAAAGAAATTATATTCTGATATTGACAACAAACTGAAAGAATTACTTCATAACTATGCTACTGGTCTATATGTTCTTGTTTCGCTTTTCAGCTAAACTAATATGGGACGAATTTTGAGAGAGAAGTGTTGATGGGATTAACTGAGAAAAAAATTCTGGGACGAATTGAGAAGTCAATTTGGGACGAACTGAGAATAAACCGAAAAGTATAAATGTAATCTCAACATGTCTTATTGCATTAAATTAGACTCAAGAATAGTAGCTAATTTTATTATTTTATCATGTCATGAATCGTTATATTCAATGACATCCGATTCATGAAACAATTCTCTTACTAAGGAATATAAACAGTCTGGAGCATCTAATACAAGCACCTGCTTGTAAACAAAAGATTATTATGGTGTTTGAAATGTTCTTTTACGTGAATTAAAAACAAACAAAAATATGAATTGAATATTATTTTTCTCTTTTATAAAGATGAATAGAAGCATTTGTTACAGAGTATAGGAATAAAAATATGTTTGAATTTTTACTTTATGTTTTCATTGAAGATATTGATAGTGGTGACTGAATTTATAATAGGTCCGAGAAATTGAAAATTTTTTCCATGTAATCTAATACAACAGAATACAATAAAACGGTGCTGGGATGCCAGCTCCTGCCTTGATTTTTTCTTTATTATTTTCGCCGCCATTTTTCGCCAAACAAAATCAACTAAATCGTTTCTGTTGTCTCAGTAGAGGTTTGTCCGAGGCGGTTCAAGACATTTTCTAGATGTATTAATAATGCAAACAGAGTGCAGCGTATAAGTTTAAAAAAATTTGTTTGCTTTTTTGCTGATCACTTTCCATAAAAATATGAACACTTCCGTGGCCAAAAAGCAATTGTGATCCTCGAAGAGTATCTGCAAAGATTTATTTGGCCGATAAGTACCATAAATGAGCGTTGTAACTTTAGTTTATGAAATCCAAAATCGCTTTTTCAATCGTTTGATTAATAAAAGACAGAAAATATGAAGATCACAAGTGTTTTGATTGTCAGCCAGTGTTTATTTGACATTTCACGCTTTCAACAATTGACTTTATAATTCATGTTTTGTTTGAACATAATCTTTTTCGTTTTCTCTCTACAGGTTTCTTTATTCTGAAGAACAACAAAAAAATCCATTTAAAAAAATTTATTCATTTTGACAAAACGATGTATATACACACATATCAATCAATTTTTGTGTTGAAATTTTTATTTATGTGTTATTATTTCGGCTGTAATATGTAAAAAAACAACGAATAATCATCTTGTAATCGTACAATTTCTGAATTTATAATGGTTTTGCCGAGGTAGGCGATATTTTCCGTTATTCGCTCAGATAACGACACTTAACAGAGTATTAATTCCAATATTTTGAATAGATTAGAGTCATGTTTACCATTTGTTAAAATTCTTTCGGTTCGAAGTAGAGCATACGCAAATTAATCTAATAGATAAAAGAGAAATCTAGTACTTAGCATTGAGAAAAGAAATCTTCTAACTGTTGTATTTGTTCTCTACTATCAGGACATCGGCGCCTAGTGTACGTACTGTTCCTAATGAAGATTCTAAAATTAATATGTACAATGAAGATGGCCTATTACCCATTCATAAAGCTGCGTTAGATGGCCTGGACGTGTCGGTAAAACGAATATTGATAAATGTAAAGGGTAAAAATGGCATTCAACAACAACTTGAAGCTAAAACAACCGATGGAAACGCAATGACACCACTTTTATTAGCAACTGCTGCTGGAAAACTCGATGTTTTGCAATGTTTACTAGGATACGAAGCTGACTACAATGCAAAAGACGTTAATGGACATGGTGAGTTAATAACACTCATTCTTTCCTATTTTACGTTGAGGAATACGCTTTAACACATTTTAACGTTTGCTTGCATAGAATAAACCCTAGTACCATTTTTAACCGATTGGAAAAGAAGAGATTTAGTGGTAGTTTTATTCAAAATTTCCTAACTAAAGGCCCTCCCCTTGGTCAGAAACCTATCTCAGCCCAGGTATCTGAGCCAAACTTTCAGGGTATGTTGACCATGTCAAAGTGTGGTAACGAAATTTTTTTTTGGCGCCACTTGCAACTGTTCGTGAAAGGGCGTCACAACAAGGGCCAAAAATAGGCGTCTGCCATTCACAAGAATTCTCACTCCAGGTAAATGATAGAGAGCTCGGGTTGGTTTTGTATATATTTTTAATCTTTGAAATAATTTGTCTATATTTTGCTACAGGTTATCGGTCATGGCGGATCTAATGAACATGTGCGCGGTCATGTGCGGCACATGCATGCACTTATGCAATAAAAGTGCAAAAAAGTCAAATTTTTTTGCTATGGGGCTTCTGGAAAACTCGCTCAAAAGTTATGAAAAACCTATTCTATCGACACAAAAATTATGTCATTAGAAAGTAGACACTTTGGGCTCAGCCCTGTGCTTCTTTCAAAATCAATATTATTGCCGAAAATCAGCATTTCTAACCCGGGGGGGAGACCTTAAGGTTCTAATGATCGACATTTTTCGGTCATTGAAAAAAGAATTCGGATTGATTTTATGTTAGCATAGTGTTTTTTTCAGTATACTTAGCGTATCTCAAAAACTAAAGAAGCTAAATCTGAAACCTAAGGATTATGCCTCCGTGGAGGACAAATATTTAATGAAAGTTTTATCAAAATCTGGAGACTTAATTGTACACCATCTAGGATTTCTCATGAAATGGTTCACAGCGAAACACTTACATCAAGCATGGAAGGATGTTGACTTATTGCTTAGTTTTTATTAGGGATGGCTGCCATTGCCGCTTTGTCGCAAAATGAACGAACACTCAAATTTATCATTGAACTTCAGTTACCGAATTATAATGTTTGGAAACCAATACTAAATCTTCTTCAGTCATCAGACAAAGGGGAAAGTGCTGCGTGTGGTCGTACACTCGAATTATTAACTCGTCGTTCGAAAGATGGTCTATTAAGTGCCTATTGGATACCGTTGTTAGACAATGGTTTATTACAGTGCTTAATTAATGTATTAAACAAATCAAAGTCTGACGATGTTTTGATCAGTTGCTATTTGATAATTTTAAACGGTGTAGATTCACAACGTATTAAATCGAAACTTGGATTAATTGAAAACGCATTCACATCAATAATAAAGCATATAAAATCGTCAAATGCGAAGATCGTCACAGCTATTGGTTGTGTATTATCCAGCATTAGTGAAGAGAAATCACTCATTGAGCAGATGGTCGAACAAGGTGTTATCCAAGCGGTTGTAAGTCTTATAGAAAAATATCATTTACCGCAAATGATATATCCTTATTTTGATTGTCTTGGCCACATCGCATCAACGTCTCAAGATAGACAACATGAAATTGCCCATTTACCATGTTTTATGGATACGATTGTCAATTATCTTCGAGAATTTGATCAACAATTAAATTTGTCTGTTGTGCGTTTTGTTCGTGATTTATCAAAGGGAAATAAAGATGTACAAAACATGCTTGCTCAACATGATGTATGCGAATATTTATTAAGCGCTCTCACTTCATCATTCAAAGATCTTCAGCAGGTGGCCATCGAAGCTATTCAAGCCGTATCAGAGAATAATCCATCTGTTCAACATATTATGTTAAGGAAAAATGCCGTTGAACAATTGTGGATGTTATTAGATAAAACAAGTATGCCAAATTTACAAACGAGACTTTTATGTACATTATGGACATTAACAGGAGAAAAATCAACAAAAAAAAGAGATATAGCGACAAAAATTGGTATGTTATTATTTTGTTAACCATTTACTCACTATTCATCTTTCTTTCTCTTATTGAGGTGTAAAAAACTTAGTGACATTTTACTCAATTAAATCAGAGGATCATTTATTTGTTATCACTGATATTTTGTATGAACTGGCTAGAAGAACGGCGAATATAAAAATGAATATACAAGAAGAAATTAGTCAAACATATGGTATTCAACACTTAATTCGATTATTAAATTCAGATGATGAAAAACTTGTTTTGTGTGCAATACGAACATTATCTTATCTCGCCGTTGGTCCTGGATTTGTACCGAATCGAAAAAATCAAGAGATAATTTTAAAAAGCGATGGTATCCCGGTACTTGTCGCATTGATGATGTATGCTAAAAGTGAAATTATTCAAGCAGAAGCCGGACAAGCATTAGCTTATGTCGCACTCAGTACGTACATAAGAAGTTTTACATAAGAATAAAAAAGAAAAAATTTTAATACTGATCTGTTTCTAGCTAATTCACAATGTTCGACAGTAATCGAGAATACATTAAATTTTTCATATGGTCATATAATAAATATGATCAAAACATCAGCAGATTCAACTATTCAATTAATTGCATCGAATACATTGGCAACATTTGCCTATAATAATTCACGTGTGCTTTTGAATCTATGTGAAACATACAGTTTATCGTTTGATTATTTTAACAAGTTTTTAACCAGCTCAGATGATTATTCACGGTGTTTAGCAGCATTTCAAGTAATAATTACAAAAACGTCTTCTATTGAAATATGTAGCTTATATTGTATATACTCTAGATCGTTGTATTAAGTGGTTTGATATCAGAACGAAAACAATCGATCACAAACGCCCTTGGCTGTGGTAACATTACAGATATTTTGAGAATGTCAAAATCTGATGATAATCGAGCTTTATCAGCGGACTGTATCGCAAGACTTTCACATTTGAAGTCAGGTATTTAGATTGAAAATATTCGTTTTCTCTGATCATTTTAAAAAACGCTTCTATTAATATAATATCATTTTCAGTATCTACAGTTTATAAACATACAGGTAACATCCGATCAGTCACTTACACCTCTTTTTGAAATAAAAACCCTCAGAAAAAACGTTTACAGAACCTCTTCTGCTTTTCTTCTGTTACAATATAAAACAAATTTTTGTTTATTCTTATTTTATTCTCCTTATTTTTCTCCTTTTTAAAACTATACCTCGTATACCATTCGTTTATTCTTCTCTCCGGGTATTCGTTCTTTTTGTATCTTACAGTTTTTTTATAGTAAATAACTCAGACAGATGTTTTAAAGTAGGTGTTACACAAGCATTGATTGCCGTTGATTGTGTCGACTTATTGTGCGATTTATTCTCGTCAGTTAATGATATTGCCATTGGTAATGCGGCTCTTGCACTCGGATATCTAAGTTTAGTTCCAGAAGGCCAGCGAAAGCTATTACATCGGTAAGTATTACTAAAATTTCAACAGTAATTATTAATGGTATTGTGGTAGCTATTGATGGTTCATTCAAATCATTAGCAGATTCGCATACAATTTTTGAGTTTTTATGATATAACTTCATCTGATGGAAGTTTTAAGATCAAACAAGAATTGAATGGGATTTTCACCTTTCTGTTTTCATTTTTCTCGGTCCTATTATAAGTATCGAGATATTCATTATTTTACACTATAGATGGCACTGTTATTATGAATATCTTGGTAGTTATAATGGGGACGAGAAAAATGAAAACAGAAAGTGAAACTCCCATTTGTTTGATTCTGAAACTTTCATCGAATGAAGTTGTGTCATAAAAAATCGGAAAAGTGTACAAGATAAGGTCAAGATACGCTAGGACTGAAAGCTAGGCCTAAGTTGCTAGTGTCATCGTGAGTTTACGTTGATTGTGCCAACTTAGATCTAGCTTTCAATCCTATGCTATCTTAACCACGAGATAAGCAGACTTATTCCATTTACGACTACATTATAATACTATCTGAGCTTTTGACGCAGTGAAAGTTGTGCCTGATCTAAAACTCATGTCTTTTGATTTTGCCGTGATTGAGAACCATTAAGAAGTCTGGCACAAGGGATAAAATCATGATTTCGACTACACACTATCTTATTTATCCTCTTCATTTCCTTCAAATGTCAAATGTATAAAAGAAAAATAATGATGTCATGAAATATTTTTAGATGCCGTGCTGAGCCCGATATAATGCCACTTTTAAAATTTTACAATTGTCTGCCCAATCAAACATCAAGATTATCACTAAATCTTATTGAAGATTGGAATCGTTATCAAACATTCAATATGCCTAAATTACGATGTCAAAAAACTATTTCTCATACTAGTTATTCTGCGCCGATACGCAATCGAACTTTTACTATAAATTCTCAATCAGAACAGATATTTAGTGTTTTCTAATGATGTTAAAGTTTTATTGTTGTTGTGTATAAAATAATGCTTTTGCTTTATGTAACAGTTTTGTTTTTCTTTTAGATCATACGAAAAAGATACACAATATTTTAAACTATTGAACAAGCGTGTTGAATGTATAAGAGCTACTTGTAGTAAACCCCCCCCCATA